AGTCCTCCTCCCAACCCCCCCTCTTTTTTAGTCAAACAAAAACAATGAATAAGAAAACAAAACTTTCACCCCGGAAAAATTCACAATTTTTGGGGCCCCAAACCGGGATGCGGAATTACCCCCCAGCCCCAATTTTTAAATTTCATACCAAATTTGTCCCAAGTAACATTTTAAAATAAAATTCCAAAAAGTAAGTTTTGCCCCGTCCTCCCCTTTTTCCGTGAAGTAAATCCCACATAAAAAACGAAACAAGCCAACATTATTTTGGTTTGAACTTTCAAAACCCCCCAAAGCAAAATGGAAACCAAAATTTTAGGAAACAACGCCCCTTTAAAAACTGCACTACCCCTTGACCCCCAATTGCAGTCAAGGCATTACCCTTTTTTATTTCTTTACCCCTGAAGGATCCCCATTAACGATTCCCCGGTTGCGCTCATTTACCAAAAAATGAAATTGCTTTTGGGGGTTTTTTTATAAGGGAAATTTGTAAATTCCCCGTCAATGTGTCAAATTTTGTCTGAGGGAAAACCCGGTTCTTTATGGAAAATTTAAAAGAAACCCAAAAATTTTCGGAATGGTCTATTCAGGAAACCATGACAGTCACTTCTTTCCATTTTTCAGGACTGAGTGAAAGCTTAGCTAGCTTGGTCAAAAGTCTTAAGAGGCAATAGTTTATTGATGAAAGATTTAGACTTTGCATTGGTAAGACATTGAGTTAGCATGACTTTGACTGCATTTGGTTTATTATTTACTATGTTCTCTTGTCAAATTGCTGAGTGCTGAAAGGATGGAAACAAATGGTTTTAATTTTTCAGATTGCTCAAGATCATACCATATTTAATTAATTTAATTCAAAAATGGATAAGTGAACTGATCTTGGGTGATGAGTGGTACACCTTTCACCTGAAGGCATGGCGTTTTCAGATTTTCAGTTTGTTATTTTGGGACAATGTTTTTGATATGTTTTTTTTCTTTTTTATTCCTTCTTTAAAGTCGACTACTTTCTTGCTTGCTTGCTACTTAACTGCATTTCATGTGTTTGAAGTTATATTTTATTCTTGCTTTTTTAAATGCTTATATTGATCGGTTAGCTATTTTCTTCATTATCATTATGATTTTTAGCTCACCTGTCACAAAGTGACAGGGTGAGCTTTTGTGATCGCTTTTCGTCCGGCGTCCGTCCGTCCGTCCGTCCGTAAACTTTTGCTTTAAATGACATCTCCTCATAAACCACTGAACCACCAATTTCATCCAAACTTCACAAGGAATGTTCCTTTGGTGGTCACCTTTAAAAATTGTTCAAAGAATTTTAATTCCATGCAGAACCTGGTTGCCATGGCAACCGAAAGAAAAATCTTTAAAATATCTTCTTTTAAACAAACCCTTAGTAAGAAGCTAGAGCTTAGATATTTGGCATGAAACATCTTCTAATGAGTGTCTACCAAGTTTGTTCAAATTAAAAGCCCTGGGGTCAAATTTGGCCCCGCCCCAGGGGGTCATTGATTTTCCCTATATGCATATAGTAAAAACTTAAAAAATCTTTTTTAAAGAACCGTAAGAGCGAGAGCTAAGCAAATATTTGGCCATGAAAACATCTTCTAGTGAGTGTCTACCAAGGTTTTTCAAATAAAAAAGCCCTGGGGTCAAAATTGCCCCGCCCGGGGGGTCATTGATTTACCCTATATGCATACTAGTTGCAAAACTTAAAAAATCTTAGTTTAAAGAACTGTAAGAGCTAAAGCTAAGATATTTGGCATGAAACATCTTCTAGTGAGTGTCTACCAAGTTTGTTCAAATAAAAGCCTTGGGGTCCAAAAATTGGCCCTGCCCGGGGGGTCATTGATTTTTCCCTATATCATATAGTAAAAACTTAAAAAATCTTCTTTTAAAGAACCCAAAGAGCTAGAGCTAAGATTTTGCATGAAACTATCTTCTAGGTGAGTGTCTACCAAATTTGTTCAAATAAAAGCCCTGGGGTCACAAAATTGGCCCCGCCCCAGGGGGTCATTTTTTTCCCTATATGCATAAAGTAAAAACTTAAAAAATTTTTATTTTTTAAAAAACCCAAAAGAGGGCTAGAGCTAAGATATTTTGGCATGGAACATCTACTAGTGAATGTCTACCAAGTTTGTTCAAATAAAAGCCCTGGGGTCAAAATTGGCCCGCCCCGAGGGGGTCATGATTTCCCTAAATGCATATAGTAAAAAAACTTAAAAAATCTTCTTTTAAAGAAACCGTAAGAGCTAGAGCTTATATGATTTGGAATGAAACATTCTTCGTAGTGAATGTTACCAAGTTTTTCAAATAAAAGCCCTGGGGTCAAAATTGGCCCCGCCCCCGGGGGGGGTCATTGATTTTCCCTAAATGCATTATAGTAAAAACTTAAAAAAATCTTCTTTTAAAGAACCGTAAGAGCTAGAGCTTAGATATTTGGCATGAAACATTCTCTTCTAGTGAATGTCTACCAAGTTTGTTCAAATAAAAGCCCTGGGGTCAAAATTGCCCCCCCCCCCCCAGGGGGTCATTGATTTTCCCCTATAATGCATATAGTAAAAACTTAAAAAATCTTCTTTTAAAGAACCCAAAGAGCTAGAGTAAGATATTTAGCCCATGAGACATGTTCTAATGGGTGTCGCTACCAAGTATGTTCAAATAAATAAAAGCCCTGGCGGTCAAAAACTGGCCCCGCCCCGGGGGTCATGAATTTTCCTTTTATGTGTATAGCAAAAACTTAAAAATCTTCTTTTTAAAAAAACCCAGTAGCTAGAGTTTAGGATATTAAGCATGAAACATCTTTAAGTAAATATCTATAAAGTTTGTTCAAATAAAAGCCTGGGGGTCAAAACTGGGCCCTGCCCGAGGGTGTCATTTTTTTTAACTATATGTGTATAGTAAAAACTTAAAAAAAATCTTCTTTTAAAAAACCCAATGAGCTTAGAACTTAGATGTTTTGCATGAAACATCTTCTTATGGGTGTCTACCAAGTCTGTTCAAATAAACAAATAAAAGCCCTTGGGTAAAAATTGACCCGGGGGTGGGGGGGCTATATACAGGTGAGCGACCTCAGGGCCATCATGGCCCTCTTGTTTCTTTTCCACTCTTGGATGTTTTCACTAAACTGCTGTTATGGTCATGTTTTCTAGTTATAGGTGCATGATTTTAAAGAAATGTTTAATTTCATCTTCAAATTGTTCAAGAAGCATTTATATTTTTTCTTAGTTTCAATTTTGAATATTCACCTAAATCCTTTGCAAATTCAGCAGTGTTCATACTTTTCAGAAATTTTAGGAAGATTCAGTTTATATTTCTTTTTGTGCTTGTGTAATAAATTTGACTACACAAAGGTCAGATAAGAAAGCTCCAGGTTCACAGGACGGAATATCATTTATTGCCACTGTAATGACAAGGTCTAGTATGTTTTCGCCTATTGTGTGTACCAAAGTAAACATGTTTAGTTGCTTCAGACCACAAGCATACAAAGATTTTATAATGAAACGCTGGCATTGCTCTTGTCATTCAAAATCCCCCATAATGTATCATATTATTTACAATTAACCTTTTGAAATGCAAGGGATGGGGAGGTTGTTGACCTGAATATTTTACCACATCATGCAGGGTTTTGTTTTAGCATTAGAAATGAAGGAATAAGTGGCAATCAATATTTATGTTAGATTTTAGTATAAATCTTAATGTATTGAGAGATGACATCATTGAATCACAGGTTTTTTGTTGTTGTTTTGTTTTGAGTGCATGTTGATATGTCCAAAACTTCTGAAAGGAATTGATTTAAACTTCACACACTAGTTCACTGTTTGATTATTTTTATCTTAAATCACAAGTCCCATAACTCACCAAGTAACCTTTTTACAGAGTTTTTTATGCCCCACAATGTTGGAGCATATAGCGTTGCACTTGTCCGTCTGTCCGTCCGTACGTCCCGAAATCTTGTGAACGCAACTCCTCTTTAACCGGATGGCAGATTTTGCTTAAACGTTCAGGGATGAACAACCTTAAATGTGAAGAATGGTAGTAAAGGAAGGAATTTTTGCTGCGACAAATTTTACAGAATTATGGCCCTTTGTTGATTTTTCACTAGATACTATGTAGAAATTTTGTGAACGCAACTCCTCTTAAACCGGATGGCAGATTTTGCTTCAAACTTACAGGGATGAACAACCTTAATGTGTAGATGGTAGTAAAGGGAAGGAATTTTTGCTGCGACCAAATTTAACAGAATTATTGGCCCTTTGTTGATTTTTCACTATATACTTATTGTAGAAATTTTTGTGAACGCAACTCCTCTTAAACCGGATGGCAGATTTTGCTTAAACTTACTGGGATGAACAACCCTTAAGGTGTAGATGGTAGTAAAGGAAGGAATTTTTGCTGCGACCAAATTTTTACAGAATTATGGCCCCTTTGTTGATTTTTTCACTATATACTATGCTAAGAAATTTTGTGAACACAAAACTCTCTTAAACCGGATGGCAGATTTTGCTTAAACTTCCAGGGATGAACAACCTTTATGTGTAGATGGCAGTAAAGGAAGGAAGTTTTTTGCTGCAACCAAATTTAACAGAATTATGGCCCTTTTGTTGATTTTTCATTATATACTATGTAGAAATTTTGTGAACGCAATCCTCTTAAACCGGATGGCAGATTTTGCTTAAACTTACAGGGATTAACAACCTTAATGTGTAGATGGTAGTAAAGAAGGAATTTTTGGCTGCAACCAAATAATTTAACAGAATTGTTTGGCCCTTTGTTGATTTTTAGTTTTCAACTTGTGGCACATGTAGTCCAAAAAATATTTGACCTAGAGTCATAAGATTGACAGAACAGTGGTGTGTGGGGGCATCTGTGTCCTATGGACACATTTCTAGTTTATGATTATTTTAGTATTATCAAGCATTGAGAATAGTTGAGCTTGCTGTCTCATTGACAGTTCTTGTTTACTCATTGAATTAAAATTTTATTGCACAATAATTTATATTTTTTAGATACTTTGGAAATAAAAGCAACAGGAGATGCAACTTTGAAGGCAACAGAGGTTTGGGGTGCTCTAAGAGGATTGGAAACATTTAGCCAGCTGATCCATGAAGACAGTCTTGGATCTGTAAACAAATTTTTGTCTCTTTTATTTTATCTACATCAGTACATGTTTATTAAAGTGAAAAATTTTGTGCTTCGAATGAATGCTGAATTTTGCATAGAAATATATTTCACCATAACATTCCTACCAGAGCAAAAGTTATGATAAAAATATTAGTTGAATTAAAGCTTTTTGTTTTTTTTTAGTTGAATTAAAGTTATAATTTTCAAGCAAGTTTGTATCTTTAGAAGTCGATTGCAAATGAAGTTCATTAACCTTTTTGAGCAAAGTGATCAGAAAAAAGAAAAGAAGATAAAAAAAGATTTATAAAATATAAAATTTTAATTAAAAAAGCAGTAAAAACTTTCAAATTTACATTACATGTATCACTGTCTTTTTTATTTTTGTAAGTTTATCATATAAGATCATGAGGTGCATTGTTTTGCAGTTTGTGATAAATGTAACCAGTATAACAGATGCCCCAAGGTTTCAACATAGAGGACTTCTTCTTGATACATCAAGACATTATCTCTCCGTCAATATTCTGAAGACAAACTTGGTACGATTACACCCTTTTATTTTTATTACAGCAAATTTTAACTTGAATTACATTATGAGTTATTGAAAACTCATTCAGCAGAGAGTTAGTAACTTTAAAAAAAATTTTTTTTACAAAAATGGCGATAGATTTCTCAGTTCTGTATTGTATAGTTGTATATGAACAACTGATATTTCTTGGAGACTGACCAAACTGTCTACTGTCCCCAGCTCAATTTCAATTAATTTAAATTGCTGAAACTCTTTTGACAAGTCTAATAGGACATGTTGGTTAAAGATTTTTATTTTGAGGGAACTCCACTGAGGTCCAAAAGCCTAAAAACATAAAATTTAAATTTCTTAAATACATTAGCTTGTGCACTTAAAACTGATAGATATGCAAAAGATATTGGTTTAAACATATTTTTTAAGCTTGATTGCAAAACAAGGTCTTGCAACTTTTATTTATCACTTTCGAGTCCGCTTCCTGGAACCAACCAGTACTGGTGTTGTATGAAGAAACATGGTCATGACCCAATTAGATGTTCCCTTGGTTGAGAAGCAGACACCTTAAACACTAGGCCAACACTCGTTAACCACAAGGCCACCACAAAAGATATTAAGATATATATTCAGAAATAAATTATATTTTTGTGCTATTCTTAGTCCAATTTAAGTAGTTGTTGGTAAGGTATCGCAATTTGATTAATTATTCTGGAGCAACAAAGTGAGCAAACAGTCTGAAAATTTGCACGTGAGTTATTGTTCTGTAATTTGTAAAAAAAAACTCAGTGGAGTCCCTTTCAAAGTTATCTACTAGTATGTTTAGTATTGTTTTGTTTTAACAATTTCAGGATATCATGTCACAGAACAAGTTTAATGTGTTCCACTGGCATATTGTTGATGACCAGGCATTTCCATATGAGAGTTATACCTTCCCAGAAATGAGTGTTTTGGTAAAATCTTTGTACCTTAAAACCTTAAATTTTTGTTAGCTGCACAATTTTAGAAGTTTCACATATAGCACACAGTATGACAATTAGATGGCATAAGGTGGTCCCGTGTAAGGAAGATGATTCAGAATACATTGCTGCTCTTTATACTGTTATAAAAACTCAGTGGATAGGTTATCAAGTCTGATTAAAATCAGCTCCTAATTAATGTTATGCATTAGGATCTGATGTGCACCAATAGGAGGTCACCTTCTCAAAAATGGTGGCAATCAGATCTACATGCAAGAAAGTAGATCTGAACTTTAGTTAGATTGATAAGTTATGGAGCTAGCTGATAGAAGGCCAATGTTAAATTAAATAAATGATATAAATATTAATCTACTTTATTACATGTACTAGTTAATTATTGATTATTATCAATGTGATACAATGACATAAGTTATTTGATTTCATTGATATTTACATCATGATTGAATTGTATATTTAATACATGTAAGATGTGATGGGGATGCCCCCAACCCCTTCAAACCTATTAAAATTAACAAGGTAACTCAGTTGGGGCCTCAAAAAAAAAAGGTTTGGATCTAGATGTTAGAAGGTCATTGTTTATGCCTGAACTGATAACTAAAATGAACGGCGGGTTATCTGAGGCCATCTTCCGCCAATTATTCTTACAATAGCCTCATATCACATTAAGAGTAAAGATTTGTCATAAAATCTATCCTATAAAGAGTGTTTATGTAAAAATGTGTGTTAAATTTTCTAGCATTTGACATATTTACATTGTTTTTATGGAAAGAATTAGAGTTTTATCGTCATTTACATAGCTATTCCAGATCTAATGCTCAAATATAAAGTATGGTGTAGATTCCTAATGATTTATGGATGGTTTAGATGTTAATCATTTCTCATTTGACAGGTATTTTATTTTGTAGGGCGCATACAATGCTTTCAGAGAAGTATACACACAGCAAGATGTTAAAGGAATCATAGAGTATGCCAGACTTCGAGGTATTAGAGTGATCCCAGAGTTTGATACACCAGGTAAAACAAGTGCTGTCTGTTCTATTCGTCAAATTCGGGAAATTTAATTGTATAGATTACATTACTTTCTTGCCTCTCTTTCAGAGTCCAGTTACGTTAGGGTATCACCTTCTCTTACTGGATCTTTAACGTTACAAAATAATTTTAAGTAAAAATATTTTGGAAATTTGAAATTTTACTTTACACCCGGAAGAAAGTCAATTTTTTAAAAAAAAGGGAACATAAAAATTCTAGGGTGCATACTTCAATTTCGCCCCCCGTTTGCTCAAAAAAGTAGGTTCTTTGGATGTATTTGGGGGAAATTTGGGGTCATTCCCGGGGGGGGGCAGTTCACTTTTTTTGGGGGATTGATCAAAGAAAAAACCCTTTCTAAAAATCCTTAACAGAACCCCTCCCCTGGCATGTACAGAAATTATAAGTTTCTTTAAAATGGGGAATTTTGTAATGGGGAAAAAGGGTTGACAAAATATTTACATTTCCCAAAGCTTACCCATTGAGGGTTAACCAGGGGGATCTAAAGCTCCCCCTGAAATTCAATGGGGGTCCCGTTGTGATTCCCCGGGGGGTAAAAATATTTTATGCTAGTAGCAATGTTGCATATCATTCTTGTTAGATATAATTCTTTAGATCATGTTAATGATTCATATTCAATGTAAATAGCCTGTGTGCTTTATATTAGGTCACTCATGTCATGGGTAAGCTATAAAGATTTACTGACAAGATGTTACAGAGTGGCAACCTTCTGGGAGCTGTTGGCCCCTATGATCCTACCCTAAATTCTACATATACCTTATTATACAGATCATATCTTCCAAGAGATAGCCCTGTTTTCCCTGATCAATATGTACATCTAGGGGGAGATGAAGTCTCTTTTACATGTTGGTATGATATCATTTTCCTACTTCAAGTTTAGATAGAAAAATCATGATCAAATATGTACATATATGGTTGTTATAGAAACAGATATATGGAGAATCCTGGGCAAGAAGTTAACACAATCATCTGCCGTGCAACCCAGGGTTTGTTCGTTTGTGTCCTACTTATTTCTCAACCATTTTTAGCTCGACTATTCGATAAGAATAAGTAGAGCTATTGCAGTCACCCGAGCGTCGGCGTCGGCGTAACCACTTATGTTAAAGTTTTTGTAATAGTTCAAATATTTTCAAAGTCCATAGACATATGGCTTTGAAACTTTGCACACTTGTTCACCATCATGACCCCAACCTGTAAACAGGAGGAGGTAACTCTATCAAGCATTTTGACAGAATTATGCCCCTTTTTCGACTTAGAATTTACGTTAAAGTTTTTGTAATAGTTCAAATATTTTCAAAGTCCATTGACATATGGCTTTGAAACTTTGCACACTTGTTCACCATCATGACCCAACCTGTAAACAGGAGGAGGTAACTCTATCAAGCATTTTGACAGAATTATGCCCCTTTTTCGACTTAGAATTTACGTTAAAGTTTTTGTAATAGTTCAAAATATTTTCAAAGTCCATTGACATATGGCTTTGAAACTTTGCACACTTGTTCACCATCATGACCCCAACCTGTAAACAGGAGGAGGTAACTCTATCAAGCATTTTGACAGAATTATGCCCTTTTTCGACTTAGAATTTACGTTAAAGTTTTTTGTAATAGTTCAAAATATTTTCAAAAGTCCATTGACATATGGCTTTGAAACTTTGCACACTTGTTCACGCATCATGACCCCAACCTGTAAACAGGAGGAGGTAACTCTATCAAGCATTTTGACAGAATTATGCCCCTTTTTCGACTTAGAATTTACGTTAAAGTTTTGTAATACTTCAAATATTTTCAAAGTCCATTGACATATGGCTTTGAAACTTTGCACACTTGTTCACCATCATGACCCCAACCTGTAAACAGGAGGAGGTAACTCTATCAAGCATTTTTTTTACTATCAAGCACTAAGAATAGTCGAGCGTTGCTGTCCTACCGACAGCGCTTGTTTCTTATATGATACTAGCTTTGGTTAGTTCTACTCAGGTGCCTGTTTATGACTGATATAATGCACAGAAGAGCACCTTAGCTCTTCCTCGATCCAGTAAAGCTGGAAAGTCGCCATTTGACCTATACTGTGTTGGTGGGACGTAAAACCCAACCCCCCCAAAAAGTTGCCGGAAGCTGATTTAATTCAAATGACAACAGTACTGTTTAACTTTACAAAGCTTATCAGACAGTGATATATTCCATTTGAGGGACTTTGTTTGATAATTTAGTTAGAGTAAATATATTTAAACTAAACAAATTTATGAAAAACTTTTTTAGGTTTACTATGATGCAATTTGTTTCAGTGATACAAAAAATTAGAAATAAGTTATAGCGGAAAAGTTACCATATGATTTACGTAGAGATGTTCTTACTGACTTCTATATCAAACAAATTTTACAAAGTTTCAACATTTTTGTCAATTAGGGAGAGTAACCCAGATATTCAGACATTTATGGCCAATATGGGATATGGTAAGGATTATTCCAAGCTTGAGGAATACTACATGCAGAAGTAAGTCTCCTAGTCTCTGTTCAGTTTAAACTGCTTAGTAAAGTCAGTATAAAGCATGCTAGATTTTATAACAATTTAAAGGCAATATTCTACAGTAATATACTATAAGTTAAGACTTTCGTTCAATGTTAAATTAATGTAACATTATGCCAATCCAAGAGTATGTGGGTAAAAATCGAAATTACTCACCATTTTGCTGTACATGTATTTGTGTTCGAATAAGATTTTGCATTTTTAAAATCCATGATTTCATTAATCATAAATTAAAACTTTCATACTATTTTTTGTTTGTTTAAGATTGCTCAACATTGTGAATGGATTGAAGAAATCCTACATCATCTGGCAAGAGGTTATTGACAATGGAGCAAAGGTTTGTGTTCAGTCTTTTTTGTTTTAGATTTTGGACAGGAATACAGAAATTATATCCTTATACCTGTATATAATAGCTTTATTGTTTCATATCTGAAATATGTATATGATTTATGAATGATAGCAAAATATGATATTTTTTCTGGCCAAGTTGTGTAAATTGTTAGTGAACTTTTTTGGTGACAAGTCATCTCTGTCTAAATCATTTGGTAGATTTTGATCAAACTTCAATTGAATGATTTCTTAGATGATCCTCTATATAAATAATATTAATTGATACATAAGTAGATCACAGGACCTAGAAATAGACTAAAAATTGAAGCCTGTAAGAATATTTTTGTCAGAAACTATATCTAGAGATTAGATATTTGGCATGAGTTCTGCAAAATCCATTATTATTCATGGACAAGTCAGTCCACAAAATTTAAGATCCGACGAAATTTCATTTTGTCTGCTATAAGGATGTTTTGCATCACATTATATGTTTTTACATTTTACCTTTTTGAAAAATAACAGTCCCTACAAAAATGTTCTTTGTGACAAAACCACAAAATTTTATGTCCACAAAATTAAGTGAATTTATAGTACTTAAATGCATCTGAGTATTTTTTTAACAAAATTGATGCTCAGGTACTTGGTAGAAAAATATCACTTCATTATTTATTATTAAGTGATTTCTTGTTGCGATCCCTTATTGCAACCATTTTTTATCAGGTTATTTAATTATAAAAAATCTTTATAACTGGTTATATAATTTTATGTACAGGTAGCTCCAGATACTGTAATTGAAGTGTGGAAGGGAGGTTATCAGAAGGAAATGAGTAAAGTTACTGCCCTTGGTTATAAAACAATTTTATCTTCACCATGGTATGTCAACTATATATCTTATGGCAGTGATTGGACAAAGTACTATACTGCAGAACCACTTGATTTTAATGGTAAGAATGTTAAATATTTCCCCCTATTTTACCTTTCTTTTATTAAACCCCTAGGTTGCCCCTGATACTGTTGTGGAAGTTTGGAAGCCAGGTTATTTGAAAGAAATGAGCAAAGTTACCTCCCTTGGTTATAAAACATTGTTAGCTGCCCCTTGGTACCTAGATTATATATCAATTCAAGATTGGCCAAGGTACTACAATGCAGATCCTCAGAACTTTAATGGTAAGTCAAGTTTTCAAATTTTACTGTAACCATAGTGTATTATAGGTTAAAGTTTGTGCCTAGGTTAGACAAATAATTTGGGTTAAGCTTCTTACCTGCACAAACAGTGGTTTGTGATTTTATTCAGAAGAAACATATCACTGTTTCTCATTTTCTTGGGCTTCTCCTATGTTTGGGGCATGCATGTGCTTTAATCCGATGCATGAATTGACGCTTGTGGGTTTGCATCCAATTCTGATAAGATCTATATGTACTTTGCTCATTTATCTCCTTCAGTATTGCAAAAGCATTTAGTATTGATATCACTATTACATTGAAATTTCACTTCTATAAGTTTTATGTTAAACTCATTTTCAGGAGTTCTATATACATGTATAACACACATTTTTAGGTCAAAAGGTCAAGTGCATTGACCTTGTAGAGTTCTACCAAACACCCATTTGGGTAAAAAAAGTCAGGGTCACTGTAACCTCTTACAAGGAAAATAAATTTGAAAATGATTTAACTTTGGATAATAGAAGGTTATTAATACATTGTTTAGTACAATACTGAATTATATTTGATGAGTTCTTAGCTGTCAAACCTATATTGGACAAGTTCATTAGAATCCGTATTGTTCTCAACATGTATAATGACCTCTGTTTTTTCACACCACCATTTTTTGACATTCTGACAGACTTTGTTACTTCAAGCACAATAAGACATAGATTTAAATTTTTGGACAAACAAAGCAAGATTGTGTACAATATGCATTTGATATAGAAATTTTGGACTCTGATAAATGAAAAACAAGGCTAGACAGAGTACAATATGCATTTGATATAGATACGAGGGGTTATCCAAAAATATGTGGACTTTTTAAATATCTCTTGAACGTCAACCTGTATTGTAATGAAATTTTATCAGCATACATTTTAGAATATTATCAACACATTTTGAAAGGAAAAGTTAACTGCGTCAATAAATAATGATTTTATATTGCTTTTAAATATGCACATGCACGGCACCTGGCGCACTATAGAAAACCGCAGTAAGTCATCGTATATTTTTTGCTAAAAAACGAAAATTCAACTAGAAAACCCGCTAAACACCGCATATTTCTTCTATGACATTTTTGAAGTAATTCTTTAAAATCATGGACGTCCTTTCCGTTTATTTTTGTTGATATCGCTAGAAACTGAAGACGCCGATATTGTTTACAACGGAAAAATGACGGATACACAGTAATCATAAAATCGCCATCATAAAATTTTGTTGTAATTTGGAAATGACACCTGTAAAAACATTTTAAAAAATCAACAGAGAAAATAAAATGTCACGATAATAAGTGTTTAAGTGGCATAAGAGATTTAGTGTTGAACGGGAAAACGGACATTACTTTAAAAGGCAGTAACGGTCATTGACTGCGTAACGTTGAAGCAAAAGGTCTACGTTATTATGACGTTGACATCATTAAACTTTTTGGATAGCGCCGCTGTCGCCGTTAGTGTTTATGTAAAATTAAATATTGTTGTAATCTAAGAAGCTACTAACATGAATTGTTCTGTGTTAATTTGTTATTTATTCTTCTAAGAAGTGTAAGAATTTGAAATCAATATGTCAAATATATTTTACGCAACAAAGAAAGTCCACGAAATTTTTGGATAACCCCTCGTATGTTGCACTCTGAAAATAAAAACATGGCAATAATGGGTATGATATGCATTTTTAGACTCTGATTATATTTTATAATAATATCTTGAAAATTCACTATCACAAATTTAGCCATCATATTTAGGGTTGATGTTACAGTGTTCCGTTTGGACAATCATGATTTTTTATTTAGCCTGTACCAGCGATGCACGATGGTATGATGGTGAAAATGCGATGGTACGATGGTGAAAACACGATAGTACGATTATGAAAATGTGATGGCACAATGTTGAAAGTGTGGTGGCATGATGGTTAAAACAGGATGGCACGTTGCTGAAAACGTGATGATAGGATGGTGAAACGCAATATAACATCGAGTTTTCACCATCATACCATCGTGATTTCACCATTGTGTTTTCATCATCATACCGTGATGTTTTCATCATCGTGTAATCGCGTCTTCATCATCATACCATCGTGCATTGCGGTTAAAGACAAAATAAAAATCACCGTTGTCCAAACGGAACACCGTATGATGTGCCTAACAGTCATAATAACCATAACATTCTTGAATTTAATTCTTGAAGTCATTGCCCTTAAGAAACAGACGAGTGTAATCATGTGCAGCATGCAATGCTCTTAAAACTTTATTTGTGATGTTTTTATTTGTTTCAGGTACTCAAACACAGAAAGATTTAGTGATGGGAGGGGAAGCATGTATATGGGGAGAGTTTGTAGACGATACCAATCTACTACCAAGACTTTGGTAAATGTTTAAAATACATAATTGTCAACCTAAATAACATAATTACAGATTAAGTACAAAATAAATCATTGGTAATTGGCATCAGTATTTATCTTAATAATTTACATTAACTGCTTGTTGATTTTAGAGTATATAAAGAAAGCCAACCTGCTCTTCAATGTATATGTAACCTGGCCAAACTCTACTTTTTTTAAACTGCTTATATGTTAATATAAATTATTGAAATTATAAGTTTACAATTCGAGTTTAAAAAGACACAAGACGTGAACAAAATCAGCTCTTAAATGGTAATAATACAAACTTTCAAGAACTATTTTTCCATTTTGTTATTTCAATAACTGTCTTATCGAATATTTTCTTTTAAAAGGCCTCGAGCATCTGCCGTTGCTGAAAGGCTATGGAGTCCCGCAAGCTTTAATGACACTAATCTAGCCACACCTAGGATTGATGAACATAGATGTAGACTTGTGAGGTGAGCTGAAAAATTTACACACCATCTAAATGCATTGTAAATGTGATTAACTGTTACATTTCTAGATAAATCGATAGTATAGTTTCAGGTCATATAGAAAATATAGGAATCACTTACATGTAGACCAGTCCAAACCAGTACTCATTCATGTAATTATTGGCAAGCTGCTTTTTTGTATGTAATGAAGGGACTCAGGTTTGCTCAGAAAGCAAAGTTTCTTAACTCTTTTAATTGAATTTTGACAAAGTTATTCATGTTCTTGATAATTTTGTGATATGTGTAATATATAATCTAGAGCAGTTGAGCAATCTGCATCTGTGATAACTCCTGTTTTCTGTCAGGTTTTAGGTCCAAGTCATTCTGCTTTTTTAAGAACAGTCAAGCTTCAACTTATTGAGCTGACAGAGCTACACATCTTCATACACTTTTAACCTCTAAAAAGAAAAGATTATTTTGATAACATTGATGGTCCAAAAATTCACTCGTTTTAATTGTTTCGTTTCAGACGAGGTTACCCAGCTGAGCCATTAAATGGTCCAAGCTACTGTCATCATGAATATGTTCTTCATTAATAGTGAAACTATATCATACTACATGAATCATTCCATCTACATGTTGATAATCAGATGTCAGTTTGCACAAGATTCTGCCACTAGTCTTACTTACATTGCTTTTGGGGTTTTTTTCCTAATTTTTTATAACACATGTACAATTAAACCACCAGTTGGTGTATTTTGTTTTATGTGATAAAAGGCTTTAATTTTTGTGACTTTTAATAGCATACTAAAATATTTGCATTGATGAAAACTGAAACTATATATGACATTCACTTGCATTGAAATAACTGGTATAGAAAAACCACAGTATTGTGTCTGCTCTTCCTCATCTGATGAACTTTTATTATCTTCCATTCATTACAGTATAACCTCAGCATGGCTACACCCTTTGGGGGGACAATGATATTGTTTGTTGCTGTGATTTGTTGCCCTTGGAAGGTTAAATTTATTGGACAGTCCTTATTTGAAAAAGTGATAAATTGCTCTGCATATGGCCATTTTGTAGAACTTGCACTGTATTATTTATATTATTGTGAAGAAAATCATGTATTTATTTATAAAAAATAATATTTAAATGTCTGGAGATGAATGGATTTTGTATACTTTTTCTTATCATTTTGTTACAATAAATATTTTTCTCGAGAAAACTTACTTTATTCTGATTTTTTTCTACATGACCAACTCTGCCAGGCCAAATCATGTAAGAAATATATATACAAGATTTAAAGGAGCAAGATATGCATCCATGATACCAAAGCAGACCTAGAAAGAAAGAGGTCACATTAGTTTTATGAAGCATTTGGGGGGGGGGGGGTTAACATGCATTACCTCCCTTGGCTGCTATATTTTGAGTCATTCCAACTATACCAAATGCTTGATATTAGATAAACTTTGTTCACAATCCTATTTTCTGTATGTACCCAGATAAAGACTTTATATATTGGTGCTGTAACAATATTTTTCTTCACATATAAAATAATTTGACAACCCACCTTACCAGAGGTGGCTGCAACTTTTGTCATTGGAGCCAAATATTGTAACAATTTGGAACTGTAATATTTGTTAAGGTAAGTAGGGTATAGAGAAAAGAAGATATTGAAACAGCACCTTGTCACAGTTGACTTCTTTTGCCCAAATATGAAATGTCCAAATAGTCACTAAGATCAGACTCCATGCATTACACAAAGGGGTCCGACACACTTGTGTTCATATATAGTGTAATTAACTTACACAAGCAATTTGACAAAAATATAGAGACAAATATTTTATATAGAGACTATATAAAATATTTGTCCCTATATTTTTATCAAATTGCTTGTGCAAGTTAATTACACTATATATGAACACACCCAAGTGTGTCGGACCCCTTTGGCATTACCAACCATCAACCGAAAATGCATGATGTATAGCTCTCTTGTATGAAAGAGACATTATATTCCCTTATTTGATCCAGGCCATATATGATGAGAAGTCCGATTATCCACAAAAAGGCCTTCAATCATCAAACAAGGTTTGCAGGTGTACATAGGTGCGGATTGAACCTAGCATGTTGCAAAATGCATATAATATATTGATGTATTATACCTTACATAAACATATGCTCCTTAACCTACCGTATACAAGAGTCAGATGGCCTTTAAATAGGATAATATTCACAATGTCAGTGTTCCACAAAAAAGTATTGCGATCTACTGAGCGGGCACTATTTTATCGGACTGCTGATATTATGGTGTATTATTAATTAACTTTTCAATATTAGGCGCGTATTCACTTCTAATGAAAGGCTTATATATGCAAAAAGTACAACTTTTATGAGAAAACTTGGCTATTACGAGATGGAGAATTTTCGGCTCTTATGAATCTTTTTTTCATTGAAAAAAAAAAGTTGCCATTTTGAATTGCTGCGATTGACATCAGTTAAAATAATAGATGACCATAACTATGATCCTAGATACAAAGAAACTAAAATGGTTCCTAAAAAAACTTTATATGAAAAATGAGTTTGAATTTTAAAAATAGCTTGCCTTTAACCGATTTTCACCCTACTACAGTACTACTAGTTTTGGCAGTAATCTAAAATTCTTATTCGAGAAATAACTCTGCATGTAATTTCAGTTTATGTATTGGTGTTCTATATTAAACTTAAAATTTAATTTAGTTATTGGCTATTTCCCCAGCCATTAGAGAATATCGTAAAATATTCACTGAAATTTCGCTGATTTTCAGTTTTTATTACTGGAAGATCTATCTACAATGTCACCATTGTAAGAATTAATCTGAAACAGGTTTATTTATTGTCTTGACATAGATGTATGCATAAGTCAACATAACTGAACAATCTGTATTTACCCATTTGTATAATGAAACTTTCTATTAGCTAACTGTCTGTATAGCAGAATCCCCCATCCAGTATCCCAAACCAGTAAGGGAAGTAACTCTTCCTTGACGTTAATCACATACTACAGATACTAGTCCAGACAAGCAGAATTCAATAATATATCATGTAGCACTACGGAGAGAAATTTACTAAATGCCATTCACAAAATACAGAGAAATCAATGTTTTTTTTTGTTTATTTTTTTTCTTCTCTGTACATAACAATTGAATTAGCGTGGCTGTCTTCCAAATCCAACCTGTTGATTACCGCCTTGTGCTCCCATCTGGGTGATTGGTGCTGTTACCTGCAGACCGGGAATGTTGGCAAAGTCCTGTGAAATACAGCACATCAAGTTAGCCACATTCATGGTTAATGATTCAAACCAATATCTGATTTTTAACAAATGTAAACACAGCCACCTTGTAATATTGATCAAGTCATAACAGTGACTCACTGATGTTGCAGAGATCTTGATGCAAGTCGCCTTTCACCAATTACTAATAATGCATATCATTTGATTTGTTCAGATTTTAAAGTTTACTTGATTAAGTTTAAATTTTTTTACATGTAAATATGAATTTCAACTGTCACAGTATAGTGAGTAAAGTAACTGTTATATTCAATATTTACAAAAATATGTACTAAGTCTTGAAAGTAAACTTTAAAATCTAAACAAAACAAAAAATATGCATTATTATCAGTATATAGTTATTTTCACAAATATTCCGTAGTGTGTTTGTATGTTCAGTAGGGGTCTTAATCCTAAACTGTATCTATTTCTCAAAAAAAAAATGGATAATCCTGAAATATTACATTGACCAATTTCATTTGTTCTTTTAAATCACTGACTGCCTTAACAAATCCACTTTAATGTATCAACACTGAACAAGAGAAAAATTATTTTAACATATCAGGTATTATCATAATGTCAATGTTTGTTTGTTTGTTTCATTTTACGCCTTTTTCCAACAGTATTTCAGTCATATAGGCGGGTAGTTACCTAACCATCGTTCCTGGAGAGTTACACCAGTACTAGACTACACTCCTCCGCGCTAAACTGCCAAAGCATCTCCCGGGGATCGAACCCACGCCAGAGAGGTAACTGGATTAGAAGTCATCTACTCTAACCCCTCCACCACGGAGGCAGTATATATAATGTCAATGAAGAAAGCATTATGTAAATCAGCATGCATCTGATTTTTAAACTAATTCCACATCAACAGATCAAGGCATTTATCCTATGTGACTCGAAGTGACTGGTAATTATCAAAATTGTTTAAATTTTTAATATGAATTATTTTACATGTCATAATTAGTACTGATTACAGATTAACATCTTTGGAATACTTTAAAATAGAGCATGCAATTCAGAGGTACAAAGCACTTTTGTTTTAGTGGGCTAATGTCCTACACTCAAAGGTATACTTATCAAGTTATACAACTAATTTCCCAATTTCACAAGTTTCCTTAATATAACCATTATGATGAGCATTACACAAGTCAAGGCTATTTAACCCAAAATTTGTAATAAATTGTGTCGGGGTGTGTTCTTTGCCATATAACACAGTGAGGCTTTTCCCTATTATACATTAAACTTAAAGTCAACTCAGCATCAAATTGTCATAGAAAATAAAGAACTTATGCTGGAGCTTCAAGTCTTACTGTGAAAAAGTAAGCTTTTTCTGATGTTCATCCGCCCATTGCTGTTAAGTATGGACCCCTGACATGTCACTGATGTTCTTTAATACTACCCTTAAATCATGATTTGCTTCTTTAAAATCAATAGTCTTATTCTTTTTCTTTCTTTTTTTTTGGGGGGGGGGGGTGTCAAAACCTTAGGCAGTAATCAATTGTCTGTAGAACTTTTCTCTTTATGAATATCTAAATGTGACTAGTTGTATAACTTCAGATGAGCTACTGATGCATCAAAACACCCACACAAGTAACATTTCATAACTTACCAGCAACTTCAACATTTCCTTTGTATCTGGGTCAACCTCGATAATGTCATTCACTTCAAGTTGGGAGATCTGAAGCCAAAGATAAATGAAATAAACTATTTCTTAAGGTGTCTTTATATACAAGAAATTTCAGAAAATAGAAGGGAAACCCATATTTATACCTTTTTGTTTTTCTAATAAAAAACAAACAAAGCTGGTAGCTTCTGTCAATATTCAATGACAAAGTTAAGGCCTTTTCAACATTGCATAGATACAAATTTATCTAAAGATCTAAAGATATTATTATAAAACTGAAAAAAGTGCTCCCTTATACATGGAGTACTAGTTCAAAGAATTTACCTCTGGAACGTAGTTGTCTCTGCGTTCTCTCTCTTCCTCCTGCAACTTAATGGAGATACCACGCACTGGGCCTCTCTGGATACGCTTCATCAAATGTGTAAGAAATCTGAAGTGGAAAAAAAAAACAGGTTTCAAAATTTCTCATAAAACTGCACAATAGACTTTCAGTAAATGTAAACTGTGTTCATAAGCAAGATGCAGATCCACAGTCCAATATAACTTATTCAGTAAAATAAATACAGCTAAAGTTTTAGTTTAGGTAGAGTTTAAATCCATAAATTCTGACACTTGGAGGCAGTTATTGCTTGTAGGTCAAGCACAGCCCAAGAATTGATCTGTCATTTTAATACAAATGGGACAATGGGATCCATCATAACCTAGGTTTTACCTTTAAAGGTTTAAGATGGTGAGGTGTAAGAATCAATGTTTATAATTTAAACTGCCAAAATTCTGGTAGCCTTTGCAAATAGGGTTGACCTTTAACTTAACTGTTGCACAACGTCAAAATAAAAGCTATGGAAGTTATGTATGGAAGCCAGTACTACAGGCAACACTGATACTAGATGTGATTTGGTTTTTAACTGTTAATTAAAAGAAAATGTCTTTCAGCTCTTCTAAAACTCATAAAAACTTTATTCTGTTACTTCTCTCAATTACAAATTCATTTAACTGCAGAACCATCTCTTACAGGCTATACTGGATTAGACCCCGGGGTCTAAACCAGGAGTATATATAAGGTTCATTTCGTTTTCTTTAGTGTATTACATACAAGTTTTACACCTGAAAAATACATAGGGGTCTAATTTAGGAGATTGCCCTCTTACATACCAGCTATTTTTTACAAATTTATACTGCCAACTATTTATTTTCATTCAGCGAACATGTTACAACATCGTATCGCTCCCAACAAATTCTTATTGGGCAACATCAATGTTTACATACCCTTAATTGGCCAAAATGATACATACATATTTATATTATGAATGCAGTAATTTTGGACATATGACATGTATGAAAAGTGATGTTTACCCAGCAACTCGGTTTCTGAGTTTTTTGCTTGGCAATATTGCAATATCCTCGCATACCCTCTTGTTAGTGTGGAAATCAAGTGTAAGCTTCGTGTAATACTTCTCAATAATTACACGGGCAGCTTTTTTCACGGTTTTCGTCCTGACACGAGCCTGAAAAAGAACGAACAAGGTTTAAAATTAATAAATAAGAAAAAAGTTGAAATGCAAAAATGGCCAATTAATAAGAAGGCAGAGATGATTTGATGCTGTCAATTACTAAATAAATATGGCATATTAATGCGGTTATATGTACGGTTCAGAAAGAAAACAAACATTCGTTAGGTCTACAAATAAAATTTGTCATATTATAAACTTGAATGTAAATTACACAAACAATTGTCCAGTCATGAAACACATTCACTGTGTCAACAAGGGCAAAAATATATAAATAGTTTTTATCTAAGGATTGGAGAATAAAATATCATGAAAATAAGCAGATGTTAGAAGATTTTTTATCATTTGTCAACTTGTTCGTGCCTACCATTTTGAACCGGAAGTTGAAAAGGATTTGAACCGGTGTTTATTCAGATTTGAAAAACTGTGAAATTTAGCAATAAGGGTATAACACTACTATTTTCCAATATATTTTCATTGTCAAATGATAAGTGTAAGCTACACATGTATATTATGTGTCTCTGGTGCAAGGTCTCGGGATCATCATCTGTTATATCTATGAAAGTAAACTTTCTAGTGATTGGAAAGTATTTTTCTTATTTCCGGGTATCTTGGAAAGCTTTAAAGTCATATCAGCAGGTATACTCGGTTCCTATGATATCAAGGGTTCTATGATATCAAGGTATTTAAATTTTCTGAAACTACCAGTAAAAGCAACACATGATGATGCTGATATTTGTAAAACTTGCTCACTAGATTCATTTCATCTGCCAATAAATTTAATTTGGTGAAGAATGAATATATTTGTGGCAAAAAAAACTATTTTATAAAACCTTCATATTTTACTACCATTTTCCTTAATGGTTTTTACACAGTCAATTAAAATATGTTTTAAATACATATACTGGCATATAGTCTGTTCATATAGTTTTAATCTTATAGCAAGTTAACTGTTGGAAGTTTTTCACAGCTTTACTTGAAAGTTTTGACCCATCTATCCTTCCATACTTGCTTTTTTGGGGATTACCTTGATACCGTTGTAACCTCCACTGAAATTATCCAAAATGGCAGACAAAAATGTCATTTTTATTGGTTCTTTTGAAATATTTTTTGACAAACAGTTCTGGAAAAGGTTCAATTATAAGATGGAAGAAAAATCTCATTCATTTATGATATTTATATTTAAATATTTTCCGATAAATGTTAAGTACCTTGATATCATAGAACCCCGGGCTACGCACAATCGGTAGGCCTATTGTAAATATTTGAGAAAAATTAGATATATTTAAAATTATAGATATTTTCCATCGTTTCTCATGCAGCACTTTCAACAAGTTACAGTACAATATTTTTTAACAATGCACGATGGTACTATGGTGAAAACGCGATGTCTCGATGGTATGATGGTGAAAACACGATGGTACGATGATGAAAACGCGATGGTACGATGATGAAATCGCGATGGCGCGATAGTACGATCATATCGCGTTTTCACCATCGTACCATCGCGATTTCACCATCGTACCATCGCGCCTTAGTTCGTGTTTCATCATCGTGCCATCGCGTTTTCACCATCGTACCATCGCGCTTTCACCATCGCACTATTGCGTTTTCACCATTGTGCCATCGCGTTTTCACCATCGTACCATCGCGCTTTCTCCATCATACCATTGCGTTTCATCATCGTGCCATCGCGCTTTCACCATCGTACCTTCGCGCTTTCACCATCGTACCATCGCGTTTTCACCATCCTACAATCGCGTTTTCACCATCGTACCATCGCGCTTTCTCCATCATACCACTGCGTTTCATCATCGTGCCATCGGTTTTCACCATCGTATCATCGCACCATCGCGCCTTAATTCGTGTTTTCATCATCGTGCCATCGCGTTTTCACCATCGTACCATCGCGCTTTCACCATCGCACTATTGCGTTTTCACCATTGTGCCATCGCGTTTTCACCATCGTACCATCGCGCTTTCTCCATCATACCATTGCGTTTCAGCATCGTGCCATCGCGCTTTCACCATCGTACCTTCGCGCTTTCACCATCGAGCCATCGCGTTTTCACCATCGTGCCATCGCGTTTTCACCATCGTACCATCGCGTTTTCACCATTGTGCCATCGCGTTTTCACCATCGTGCCTTCGTCTTCCGGTGGTCATGCGCAATGTTATATTTTTATCAACAATGTATGCCTTCTCGTTATTGAACCCTGCATCCTATGTGTGTATCTTTTAGATCTTAGTATTTGAAACACGAGATTAACAAAAGGCAGTCACTCAAAAAATTTAAAAAAAGTTGTCATCCTTGTGCACTGTACATATAAAGTTTAAAGTTGATATATTAAATAAAGCAAGAGAAAAATGCAAACATATATATTATATAGCATAAGTAAGCATATACTTATTAAAATAGTCGTTGAACTATATACAGTATCACGACATAAATGGAAAATATAATGTAAAGATAACAGGTTTTATTATATATAACTCAAATTAAACATCAAGTATTCTAAACTTGTTTTTATTATCTACCGTAACATAATCTGACAACTTACTGTATGTGTACTGATTATACTGACCGAAAGGCGATGGTTCGATATGGCCCGATGGTGAAAACGCGATGGCACGATGGTGAAAATGCGATGGCACGATGGTGAAAACGCGATTGAACGATAGTGAAAACACGATGGCGCGATGGTACGATGGTGAAATTTCACCATCGTACCATATCGCGTTTTCACCGTCGTACCATCGCGTTTTCACCATCGTACCATCGTGCATCGCGGTAACAGACTAAATTAAAAATCACGACTGTCCAAACGGAACACCGTAGATTACACATAAAGAGTAATATTATTGTTACTTTTGGTAGAATACAAAACAGTTGCCTCCCTTCAGTTATGACCCACAACTAATGGTGTCACTTACACCAGTCTTATAAATCAGTTAACATTCCATTTATCTCCTGTATTCACTGTTGTCATTTAAAGCCGCATGGCTCCAGATGAACCAAAATATTTCAAGAAAATTGAACTTACATTTTAAGAAAAAGTAAAAATATTCATAATTCAAGAATTAATTTACATGTTATATAATTAATGACTGAGTCATTGCTACATTTCTACTGCGATAATAAAGCAGTAAGGGCTTATTGCAAATATTCTGACATTTTTTGTAATTTTCGTAGATTTTAGGTGTGCACCTGCAATATAAAAATTGTTATTTTTGTTCAATATTTTACTTTAATAAATACCTTTTAAAATTTTCTTGAAAATAAGCATGAATCTGTGGCATGCTTCTTTAATTAATATGCTTTAGTTCCAATTACGACATTTCGATGCCTAGGTTAATTGTGTGGTGTGTTTATTTAGTCACGTACATCTTGTTCATTATTATTGTTATTGATTATCTAACTGAAAAGGACAGAATTTGTAAATAAAATTTATTCTTTTCTATTTTTCCCATATATTTACAGCTGATCCAAATATTGAACATGATCCTTTAATTGATACATATTTTTAGCTCGACTTTTCTATGAAAAGGGGAGCTATCCTACTCGCCCCGGCGTCGGCGTCGGCGTCGGCGTCGGCGTCACACCTTGGTTAAGTTTTTCGTACCACCCCACTTTATTTCAGAAGTATTACAAGTATGGCTTTGAAACTTACCATACTTGTTCACCATCATAACCTCCATCTACAGACAAGAGTACATAACTCTGTCAAGGTTTTTGACAGAATTATGGCCCTTTTTTGACTTAGAAAGTGTATTGAGCTTGGTTAAGTTTTTTGTACCACCTCACTTTATTTCAAAACCATTGGAGGTATTGCTTTGAAACTGACCATACTTGTTTACCATCACGACCTTCATCGACAGACAAGAGGACATAACTCTGTCAAGGTTTTTGACAGAATTATGCCCCTTTTTGACTTAGAAAATACATTGAATATGGGTAAAATCCACTTATTGCCTTAACCCTTTGAGATATTGCTTTGAAACTTTTAATGCTATTTCACATCATTACCCTCATCTGTACGCAAGAGAAGGTAGCTCTGTCAAGGATTTGTTTTAAAAATTAAGGCCTTTTATCGACTTAGAATCTTGGTTAAGTTTTTAGTACCAGTCCACTTTTTGACTGAACTGTTTGAGATATTAATTTGAAAGTTGGAATACTTGTTTACAATCATGATTCCCAAACATGTCCAGGAGAAGGTAATTCTGTCAAAGATTTTATTTGAATTATGGCCCTTAACTGTCAATGTTTTGTATTATAGGCAAGCACTAAAAAACTTAAAAAATCTAAAAAAATTCATTCCTATCCACTGAACCTGCAGTGTTCAAGGGTATCACACAATTCAGTAACATAATTCTTCACTAAATATCTTAATGCTCATGGCCATTGTTCACTTTAAAAATACAGAGATTCTTGTATTGCCTTTTACTGCAAAAACTTTTTTTATTGGCAAGCAATAAAAAAGTCGAGCGCGCTGTCTTACGGACAGCTCTTGTTTGATCTAATCTTACAATTTGTATCGTTTTTCGGTTTAAAATAAGTTTTTTTTATTCTTTTGAAATCAGCAATATGTTAAATGTATATTCTTTATTCGCACCATATCATTATTTATAGCCTATTCTATGTAATTGTAAGTTGCACCCAGCAAGGAAAATATTACAAAATCAGGATCATTTTGATCTTGATATTTTCTTTGTGAATACGTGGTCTGGGTGCTTTTCCGTTGATAGATTTTAACAAAAGATATGATATTTTTAAGTAAATGAAACTTTTTATTTCTAACAAAAATAGAAATACAATCTTTATTTTCTTCTTTTTATTCCATCTAAAATGTTGAATATGTTAAACAAAGGTTATTGTCTAGCTTGAAACAATGCACGCCATTTTTCATTCATATTTATTTTCGTACACACGCACATGCATGCACAATGCAATGAGCAGTGTACATGAAAGCAATACATGCTTTGAAAGGCGGACAGTTTCCCCCGGGTTAAGATCAAGCTTTCTGATTAATATATATCGTCAGCATAATATATCGTTTTATATTATGCAAATATTATGCAAATGTGACATATGGAGTGCAATAACAATTGCGAGCTTGTAAACAATTGTACGATTAAATCTACCTTCAGCTTTAATTTAATGTACTTCAAGATAGGTTAATCGCGTTTAATCGTTTATAACAAAATCCGTAACAAAACAAACTAAAGAGTTAAGTACATGTATGAAATAATTGTAGCTGTATTATCGGAAAGACACTTCTGTCTATAAATAGAATACCACAAGCAATTATTTGTAATAATATATCGTTCATATTACACGTAAACATACATTATTGCATGACTGTACTTCCAGTTGTATAGGATTTTAAAATACAGAAGTGCACAGGTTCTTTTGTTGATTACAACACAGAGTGAAACTTAAGGTAAGAATGTTTAACACATTGATAATGTACATAACTTTTTAAGGTAAACAAAATAATTTAAGAGCTTTTTTGGAAATTTGTTCTTTCGACCTGTAGACGTTTTAAGGTAAAATAACTTGTTTAACATGCTTGTCAACCGGTCGATTGTCTTCATTGTGCGTTTCACACCGCCAGGAATGATCATCTTATACCGTTACCTTCTGTCAAATACACGTGCAGCACGAAATGCTCGGGTTTTCCGGTACGCGTGCAGCACTGATTTAACGCTTCAATACTTTTATAAACATGTATATTCATGAGACTATTTAAAAAGTGTAGTATACCTTTTTTATTATAAATTTATAAATGAAGTATAGAAATAAAATGCGTATTTTCATATTCCGTATTTTCACTGTAAAAAATATTTTTCATTGCAGTGAAATATATTTTCCGTATTTTCACTGGTGTCTTCCCGGACTATTTTCATCTAATCTAAATTATGACAGTACACACACTTTCAGGAAAATTCTTTCAAATTGTAATGTCAAAATAAAGAAAAATGTATATAATAAACAGAAAATTAAAGTTTTTTTTTCTATAAATACATGATATATTTTCATCTTGTGGTATGAAAATTATCATATTTTCACTCGTGGCTACTGCCACTAATGAAATATTTATTTTCATACTACTGGATGAAAATAAATCCTGTTTTTATAGAAAAAACAACACTTTAATTCTATAATTATGTAATGAATATAGTGTAACATGTCTACATCATTTTGACCTTTGACAAATAGTTAATGCTAGAAAAGATAATCATGTAATAAAACTTATAACTTTGAACTTGTGTCAAAATGTAGGTTACCAGATTTGTTCATATCAGTACGATAAAGCTCACACGATGCACATACATGTGAGGCGTGATTGTAATTGTTATAGGTGGAACCAAATTATTCATGTTGTTTCTTTTATGAAATGTTGTATAATCAGTGAAATGGTAAATGGCAGAATATTCAACATTGATGAAAAAAATAATAGACATGTGATTACGAACATAAGGTTCTCTTCTCATCGCCTTGAAATTGAACATGGTATAGGCAAAAGGACATTCAGAGGAACGAGCGTTTGTGTAAATTATGTCTTCATCGAACAATTGGAGATGAATTTCATTTCATATTGTAATGCTACGTATATCACAACAATAGAATCCATATTCGTATAGAACAAGGCCAAATATGATTAAATTCATTGAATGATATTATTTTTATTCGTAGCGTTTGAAGAAATAAAGACTCTCTAAAATGCAAACTAGATCATTAAAATACTTTATTCATTTATGTTGTCATATCGAAAAAAAATTCTATACGTCACATTTTCAGAATCATAATTGTACATGAATAGACAGAGATATCAAGGCCGAATCTTTAAAATTGACTACATAAAAAAATTATGCAGGTTATGTAATTATCTTCATTACATTCTTTTCTTGTGTATGCTGTCATTCAATTCATTTAATGCATGCAGGTAAAATCTTATTGTTTAATCCATGTGTTGTGTTGTGTTGTGTTGTGTTGTGTTGTGTTATGTTATGTTATGTTATGTTATGTTATGTTATGTTATGTTATGTTATGTTATGTTATGTTATGTTACTTACATTAACTGGACATAGGTAACACGTGCACATTGAATTTTTCTTTTTAATTCTGTGAAAATTTGAAAAAAACTCTCAGGCCCAATTTAATTCATATCGTATCACTGTCATGATAATTTCCTCTTAGTTAAAAACATAAACATGTAAAGGAAAAATGGTATGTATTGCTCATATGTTTTAGAACCAGATCTGGGAGGATATACTTTAAGTACTTAAAATACTCTTATGTTCGTACGAAAAGGAAGAAAATATGCTCGTATAACTACATGCGACAAGGAAAGTATAATAACTGCCCAATGAAATGAAATAAAATGCGAGGTGGTAACAATATTCAATCAAAGCACAGAAGGCGCTGAATTTGTTGGGTCTCAGAATGTCAGAAAGGTGAAGGTTGTGAGATTATAAACCAATTTGTTTGTATAGTATCACCAATGCTGTTTCCAGTGTTATAACTATAGTAAATTGGCTATAAGACTAATTGCAACACTGCACTGATATTCAATTCAATGTTTATTTGGCTTAAGAAAAAAAATGAGTTGCCTGTACTGGGATTTGAACTCCAGACCTCTCGCTTCCAAACGACCGTGTTAACCCCTCGACCACGGGGAGGTTTTAGATAATAGCCTGAAGAATACCATATTATTCTAAATTAGAGTTTGTAACCCTTATTTATTTCGATATATTTTGTTCACGGTAAACCTGTTGTTTAACACTGAAGTAAATAATCATGGAGCTGAATATAAGCATGTAAATCTATAAGAATAATACAGTATTAGAAATCTTCGACCAATCGGGAAATATTTTTTCGTTACGAAAATTAATGCGCCTGTCATTTGACAATCTTTACGCAGTGATCTCCCCTTATTTTTTCGGCGTTAATGTACATATGAAGGGAAGTAACCGCTTCGAGGAGTTTGGACTACTTTCGGTATTTGCAAATAAGAACATCAGGGTCTAAAATTTCGCTACCATTATTTGTTTGGTCTGACGACCCAAACAAATAAAATCAAGAAGTATCATTAAAAAGATACTTTGCTGAAGTAAATCTGCTTTTACTTGCATAGGTTTTTTCGACGTTTTTGAATACATGGATAAAGAAATGTTAGCAATAATGACAGTAAATACATGTCCATATTTTCAGTTGCTGAAAATACTTTTACCACAGTTGACATAGCGTTTATTTCTTTATCCAGAAAACGCTGAAAGATATGTTTCTAAATGATACTGTCTTGTTTCCTCTGACAAATATATGTACATAATTATTTAAATATATGCTTCGTTGATATGCAAAGATACATGCATGAGAATCATTAATTTCAAATTAATTGAATACATCAATAATTATACATGTATAATATTATGAACACTGAAACTGTAATCTACTGAGACTACCAGAAAAGTTCTGAGTTTTTTATGTGGTGTTTTTTCGGTATTTTCATGCACATGGGTTTCCGGGATCGTGGGCGTCCTTGATGGTCTCGTTATTTTAGACAAAACTTATAAAATTTCATTTATATCACATTTCATAAGTCTTATTCTAGAGAATTAATGAAATTTAAAAAGCAGCGTTAACTGCTGTAAAATGTATGAAGGGAAGCACGGTTCACAGGTCTCAAATATCCGAGAAACTTTGTTTTCGAAACTTCTTTAGATTATTTAGGATTTTAGACGTGTATATACGTTTCAGAAAGGTCCTTAAGCTAGTTTATTTTACTGATTTTAGAATGGCCAATGAGATTCCCGGATTAAAATGACCGATGGACATCCTACCTTTATTCATTTCTTCCCTGTATGTTTCACAGGAAGTCAAACCATTCTCAGGAATAAGTATCCAGTAGAAACAAAAAAAATCTCGTAGAATTAAAAAAAATCTCATTCCAAAATTTAATTTAGACTGCATGGCTCCATTTAATAAATTGGCATGCCTGGACTGGAAATACTTTTTCCGAGATTTTTGAACCAATGGATGAAGGTCTGGACGCAAATTTTCAGCTCATTCATGCACCCCGTTTTACCAGATTGTGAAACATGAGCCAAAAATGAAAAGCTTTTCACGCACACCCGGCTAAAAATCGTACACAAATCGATGTTCAATTAAATTTTCTGAGTATATTTCTTTTTTATCCTTGGCAGATTTTTTTTACCATTTTAAGTGCTGCACTTGATATTTGTAAGATTTCAAAATGATATGTTTGCTGGCATTTGGACCTCAGTGGAGATCCTAAATGCCTTGAGGAAACAAACGTTTGATGTCTTTATCTGAATAATTTTATCCTGTTATACAAAAGAAGGAAACTTTATAGGAAGTTTTGTAATATTTTCCTTAATTAAGAAAAACGTACTTTTACATGTAATTCAATACTCCATTTCATATTTTTTGAAATAGTAAACTTAACATACTTATTTGAGACCATTTTGAGAGTTTATTGTCTAAGGCCCATAACTGTAACATGGAATTTTTGATAGCATTGTTCCCCTTTTTAACTACCATGCACTGTGAGTCCTACATACAGCTCTTTCGTAAAATGACAAAAAAAAACTGTAAACATTTTAGTCGAAATCGGGCTCAGAATCGAATACTTTGGTCTCAAGACGAATTCAAAATTCTTAATTAGTGTTCCGAATTCAAAGCACGTGCACAATTAGCAGTACAAGAGTTAAAGGTACACTATGACTTAGAAATCCTTATTATTTTTTATTCTTTAGAAAGGTCAAACTTATTTAAATAATGTTTTTATCATGTAAACAGAGCACGTTAAATCTTAAATAGCTGAAAATGTAGCCCTGAACTTGTATTAATGTGTCATAAAGGTAGCAAAAAGTAAACAAAGTAATATTTCGACTCCCATACAAAATACTAGATCACTATAATTATATAAATTGCCAAAAGAGCAAAAGAATGAAAACATATCTTATTTGTATGACCAATATGTAACTTTTTGGAAACTGTTACAAGTACCAATTTTTTTTTTGAGAAATGATTTTAGGGGACTTACTGGGCCTTTAACATTAATAACTTTATACAAAATACTTTTTTTCAACTATCCTACTAGATATAGTATGCTCTTTTATTTTATCATCTTTGTTAAACGCAGAAAAAAATGTTGATATAACAAATTGATTCTGTACTAGCCTAGTATGATATTTATTAATCAAACTGAAAATCATTTTTACGAACATTTTTCTTATATAAATCACCTTAGAAAATCTTTATAGTCAAGCTAAAGCTCTCTAAAGCTGCCTGCTGAAAATTACATTTTTTTTTTCTCTCAGCGAGTTTATACTCTCTCTTAATCAAAACCTGAAGTTTCTTGGCAAAAAATCTATAATATAGACCCAAAAGGTACCACGAGTTAATGTTTGCATGATTAAAAGATTATGAAAAACTTGTGCTAAAATTATATATAAAATCAGTTTCCATAGATACTAAGAAAATCATGCATATTTTCTCCAGTCCTATGTGTTCTTACCTGCTATAAAATAAACATTTACAATATATTTTAACATTGTAAGTCATGATTCATGCCAGTGAGTCCCAGGTACTGTTACCTGTTGTCATGTATGACATGTATAATTATCAATAGCGCGTTGCATATAAATGGAACAATCTTCATTGCGAAGATGAGATATGATGACGAAAATGCGAAACACGATAAATATATCTGGAATACGATAACAAAACCAACAAAAATCGCGAAAATGAACGAATAAATAAACAAATAAAAAACAAAAAACACAAAACAAAAAAAATACCCACAGAAATCAGAGATCTCTCCAGACCAAAGAAAACAACGCTGTTGACAATTATACGATGACGAAAATGCGAAACACGATAAATATATCGGGAGAACGATAATAAAACCAACAAAAAATCGCGAAAATAAACGAATAAATAAATAATTAAAAAACAAAAATCAAAACAAAAAAATACCCACAGAAATCAGAGATCTATCGTGACCAAAGAAAACAAAGTTGTTGACAATTGCAGCATCGGTTTCATATGGTCTGTTAATAAGAGACAATTAAATGTTCAACATCTTATATGTTTACATGCACCGGTTTAAAGTGAATTGACCTACAATGGAAGGTATGTGATACGATAAATGAGCCGCGTCACGACAAAACCAACATAATGGGTTTGCGACCAGCATGGATCCAGACCAGCCTGCGCATCCGCGCAGTCTGATCTGGATCCATGCTGTTTGCTTACAAACTCTATTACAAGTAGAGAAACTGATAGCGAACAGCATGGATCCTGATCAGACTGCGCGGATGCGCAGGCTGGTCTGGATCCATGCTGGTCGCAAACCCAACATGTTGGTTTTGTCGTGACGCGGCTCAAATGACAACATTGATAGTATTTAGAATCACATATATCAACAAAACAATGAATGTTTAGATTGATACATGATCCAGTATTACATATATTTATACAACAGATAGTTAAATTGTTTTAGAACAAAATATTATAATTCATCATAAAAAGGTTCCTACTAAATCACATAGAACTTGTCAACATTTTTTCTTTCAATTAACTTGTATATTTGTTTGTTTGTTTGTTTGTTTGTTTATATATTTATTTGTCTGTTTGTTTGTTTGTCCGTTTGTTTGTTCGTACATAAAATTCATTCATTCATTTGTTCGTCAATTCGTTCGTTCTTTTTTGACCATTCATTCATTCATTCATTCATTCATTCATTCATTCAATCATTCATTCATTCATTTATTTATTTATTTATTTATTTATTCATTCATTCATTCATTTATTATTTATTTATACATTTAATTTAATTTTCGTACGCAAATTAGTAAATTCTATACATTTACAAAGATATCATTAGTGAATAAAACAACTTGGTAGCACTGCGATATTCTTTTGTTTCTCCACTGCCGCCGCTGCACATAAATCCTGATTGATTAAAATCACAGACTCTGGTAAACAGAGCTCTTTGATTTCTTTAATTAATAAATTTATGAAAGAGACACGTGCTATAGCTAGAGGATCACGTTATTCTGTCCGTTGCACAACTTGTGCATGAGTAATTGATGCCGTTTGCTCGAGCAACTAGTTTGTGTTCTGCAGAAAGCTCTTTGTAATTCAATATATTTTGCAAATTGATGCACACACAACGGTGTTTAGGAGAATTAACTTACATATATTTGTGAGCGGAGTAAATTTAGGTGAAACATTAAACCACTGTGAATAAATAAACACATGTAAGATCATTAATTCATTTATTAATTGGATACGTATTAAAGTGATCTATAGGTAAGATATTCTTAGATATATTTAAACTGGAATCTCATTTTCAAAGCTATAAAAGCACTGTCATTCCTTTATTTAACTGACAATGTCTGCAAACTTAACATTGAAAACTGGCTGAATTGATATTTTTATTTCTAGAAGTACTGCCAACGGAAATATTAATATTGTATAGACGTTTTATAAGATATTCTTTTCGAAATTATGCAGTTGTTCGTTCATTGGTTGAAATTCAACAATATACATACAAATGTGTAACTGCAGTTGGTAGCTTGATTTTGACTAGATGCATTTTAATCTGTTGAAAACGCAGACATGTTTAATTATGCAGGCGTGTGTGTGCGGTTGTTTTTCCTTGACAGCATTTTAATTTTTAAAGCTGCATGCCTCAAGATGAGCGAAAATATTTCAATATAATCAAACTAGAGAAAAATGTACTAAGATTTTAGGAAAAGTAAAACTATTCAAGAATCAAGTAATAATTTACATGTTATGTGCGATTAATGACAGATTTTTCCGTATCTATAACTATATTTCTACTGCGTTACTAACGCAGTAAGGGCTATTTTTGCATATTTTGTCCTCTTTTTCGTAATTTACGTGGGTTGTAAGTGCCATTGATAATGTATTGCTTCCTTTTGGTTATTTCACTAAATAATACTTTTAAACACTTGCTCACTCCGTGTTTTTTTTTCTTCAGAATTTTGCAAAACCATCTAGTAATGAAAACCGTATATTAAAAAGATCTTATCTCAAAAACAGACTATATAGCTAAGAATAACTAAAAATCGGTTTTAAATTTAATTTTGACTTTTTTTCTTCTTATATTTGCATATTTTTTCCGATTTAGGTGCCCCTCTTGATCTATGTAAGATATTTTTGTACCTTAGTCCTTTTAGAGATCCTGTATGTTGTAATAGTTAAAGTATGTAACATACAGTTAAGTGAATTTTTATATATGTAAATAATTTTTCTTTTAAAACAAATTCCAAACATTCCAAGAATGTGTTGAATATGAACAGCAAATGTTTACATACATTGTAATTAAATTTTAAGATTAATGCATTCATATTTTTATTGGAAAAAAAAATGACTTAGACTTTACAGTATCGAAAATAAATTTCTAATTACCTCCCTTTATTTACATGAAATGTTAAATTCGATTAATATCTTTACAAATCATACTTTTTGAAACTTACAATATTGATAAATCTTCATTTGAGCATCAAATTTATGATATTAATTGATAAAAAAAAAATTGCGTTACAGGGGCTTTAACATTTATAGCAGCGGGTAAGGGTAAAAGAAAATGACGTCAATACTTTCTGCATAAGCTGTTTATATGATATATTATAATATCCTTATACGGTGACATTTTAATTTGTGGTGTGAATTAAACAGATTATTTGCATAGAGAGTTTTTTGTCAGACTTGATGTGAAAAAAAAAGATGAATATTATTGATGTGTTTGAAATATTTATTGGAACAGAGAATAATGGCTCGGCGATTTTCAATTACCCAGAATGTTTTAAATTTGTCTAGTAGCAGAGACGGGCACTTGTTCGTTGTATGTTCCTGGTCGAGTGGTTAAGGTCGTTGACTTCAAACCACTTGTCTCTCACTGTTGTAGGTTTGAACTGCGCGACATGCGATAAAACTATACAGCGCTTACGGAACGACGGTGGTTCTACTCAAGTGCCCGTTTGTGCTTGAAATAATGCACAGATGGTGCCTGAGGTATTTCTCCACCAGTAAAACTGGAAAGTCGCTATCTGACATATACTGTACGTGTTGGTGCGACGTAAAAAACCAACAAAAAATGCCTTCACACAAATTTCTAACATCATGAAACATGTGGAAGTATATAGCACGTTATGAAGACTATTCAATTAACTAGAAATGTATTTATCTACAAATTTGATTCAAAGTAGCTCCTGGTAAAATGCGTGAGGCTCAGAAAAAAACGCAGCGTTCGTGTTATTTGGCGATATTTTCCCTGAAAGGCATATATATCTGTTTTCCCCGAATCAATAGCCTGAGACGATCTTAAGTTTGTAAAACTTTGTTATATCAATAACACTAGAAGCACAAGGTTCTCTGTTATATATCAAATTCTGACAATTGGATTTATTTACCAGATATTTTCTCATAAAAGGAAATTGTTATTGGAAAGACGTAGGGCATGTAGATTATATGAAGTAATATAGACTACAGGGAGTCGTAATATTTGAGAAATATGTGCGTGAAGTGTATTAATATCCATTCAAAAGATCGTGTTGGCAGCAATTTAATTGTCTGTGTATCTCTTGGGAGAACGATTTTTGCCTAAAACATAAAATAAAAAAATACAGAAATACTTTGTTTCTTTTCAGGATGGCGAGCAGTTTTTAACCATGTTGTGATCTGCGTAAAGTTTCATGGATAGGAGTAAAACTTCGTCGTCAGGCCGGCGTCACCTTCGTCAACAAATTAACGAAATGGTTCACAATATAGAAGCGGTAATGGTGAATATAAACAGTGTTCTTGGAGAAGTTACGGTTCTTGTAAAAGAAATTGACAGCATTACTGAGCGACTTGAAACCCATTATGAAAACAAAATAAAGAAACGGGAAGTTGTTCTAGACGCCAACAGGAACCACTGTGACGTATTAGACACACCAGGCTTCTCCAACCAATCAAAACTGACCACGCCATCACCATATTTGGACTATACATATCTTGATCTCGCAAACGACTGTGATACATGCCACGAAAATGTCCATAGTTTTACTTTCAATGAAAAATATCCATTATGGATTCAGTATAATACGTGGAAACATGACAATTCTATATCGGATGTATCTGAAGTTTCCGCCGGAAGTGACTCCAATAACCTCGCTTCCGGTGAAAGTTACGATAAATCTTGGAAAAGTGTTTCAAATTTAGGGAGGAAAACTGAATGTGTTCATAAAAACTATTATCCAGCAAAGTCAAAAAGTAAATTCGAAGAAGAAGATATAGCAAAATTTACAAAATGTTGTAGCAATTCACATACTGATCTCAGTGAAAAGTACTGCGGGGTGTACGAACAAATAATGGAACAGCAACTGGAAGCCTTAGAGCAAAGTTCCATAGATTTTATAGAGACTAATCAATTTAGTGACACAGTTTCTTCAGGATGTACAAGTGAGGATTGTTGTAATGAAGCTCTAGGAAATTCTGGTTACTTCTCTACTTACACAATCAATTACTCACAACAGGACAAGCCTGCTTGTATCACTGTTCGTGAATTTAGCGACTCAAATACTAGTGTTTCCGAGTAAAAATACATGTATATACATGAGATTTGAACCCCATGATGACATTATGTGGTATATTAAAACTATATTTCATGTTTATCGCCAGGATTAGGGAACAGCAACAACATACTAAATTAGCTCAATCTGTTTTTATATTATAACTTATAAGAGTCGACATAAGTTCTATCAAGATGTGCTTTTGTTCAAATTATGTTATATAATAATAATGTTAATATTTCGTAAACCAGCGTTTGAGACTATGACATTTTCTGTAAGGCACCAAACTTACGTCAGACATTTGATTCAATGAAAATACACCTATTTGAAAACTCACTATATGTTCATGTATCAAATGTTTTGTCCTTTATCTTTAATAATATATTTATTTCGTTGTCCTGAGAGCTTCCAACTTGCTCTTGCATGCTGTTTTTTTTTGTGAAAACTTTATTCACGATACATTGTATATATAATTTTAAAGGTGTTTTAATGAATTAATTCAATGGCAATTGATAAGATATGGTTAATCCTTTCTTAATGGTCGATTAATTACGATCTAGATCATTTTTTACAAAGATTTTATTAATGATTTTCAAGTTTGTGTTGATCTAATGGGAAATCCAAAATTTATTCATCAGAGTTCTCGGCACGACAGTATGAGTTAATCTATTGCTTTTTAAATAATAAAAACAAATGGCATCATCTTCTTTTTACAAATTTGAAAATTTTAACCGTTTGAGCAAAGAACTACTGCGATATTATTAGTAATGATGGCATATACTTCTGTGTATTATTTCAGTTTTATTTCAGGTTGCGCATACGTCAGAAAATATCAGGACTTATTTGCAATATATCCAGTCGAATTGTAAAAAAAAGTCTATATAAGCCGCGTCACGACAAAACTAACGTAATGCGTTTGCGACCAGCATGGATCCAGACCAGCCTGCGCATCCGCGCAGTCTGATCAGGATCCATGCTGTTCGCTTACCAACTTATTTTACAAGTAGAGAATCTGATAGCGAACAGCATGGATCCTGATCAGACTGCACGGATGCGCAGGCTGGTCTGGATCCATGCTGGACGCAATCCCATTATGTTGGTTTTGTCGTGACGGGTCTCATATAAGGTAAATAAATAATATAGAAGTCTGTTATTTTTGAATAGGTATTTTAATATGGTGATTATAAGGATATTGATTATGTTTGTCAAGAATTGGTTCATGGAAAAGGTCACGTGATCAATACATATATTTAGAGGCAAAAGTAATAATTGCAGGATGTAAAATCATCTGCTGGTTGCGATTAAATAAAACTATGAACTTTGTCATTCACAGATTTCATTTAAAGGCCCATTATGCCCCAGAAATGTTTTTTATTTTTATTAAGTTTAATTTTTGATGTCCTGTTTAAGTTTCCATAATGACACTCATTTGGCATGCAACCTGAACCATCCTTTTCTACAGTTGCCTTTTAGCAATTAGTTCAGTAATAGTGATTTAGCATTTTTGTATGGAAGTCAAAATAATACATTGTTATCGTTTTGCTACTTTTATGACTCAGCTCTATTTCCTTCAGGTGACAAGTATCTAGCATTCACAGAACACTTATATAAACGTTACAAAACTTATGAGAAGGAAATATTTATTCGTTTCTAGGACATAGCGTTCCTTTAATGACTTCATGAAATAAGAAAAAAAATATCTGAATATTCAACAATCATATATAGAGGAATTGTCTGTCTATTGACGACGCTTTTTATAATTCAATATCAACTTGTATTTAATGCCAGGAAACGCATATTGTATTTTCTCTTAGTTTTCTCTCCGCGGGATTAAACGCTATCATTATTGCGATATAGATTTTTCATATGCCCAAGTTTTCCCAGAAGTAAAACACCAAGATTAAAAGGCTTGCAAAATTATTACAGAGAAATGCTTTGTATAATGGTGGCGTGATTAAATTGGTAATTATTTTTAATGAGAATTATTTAATGAATTACTGTGTTTCGAAATAGATGTTCTAAAAATGATATCTAGCAATATTTTTTCGCAGCTTTCTACTAGGGATGAACATGATGTTTCCATTCCAATCCACAAAGCAGACTTTCCAAAGAAATAAACAATTAAGAAAAACATATTCATAGTTTTTATATATGGAGGGCGTTCGTTGCCAAAATTCCAGACATGTAAAGTGTTCCTTTTTAAAATGGCTTTTGAAAATGCGAACTTGTATGCCTACCATTTTTATTGTATGCCTCTTAATTCAATCTTTTAATTGAAGGTTACCGCCTTTATATAACAAGTTTACATATATATCGTAACAACTGACCTAACATCTAAAACGACAACAAAGTTTACAAGTTCGTATCTTCCATTGCATGCAATACATACGCATGTTTGCACACTTATAGATCTGTAATATACAAATGAAATGTAAAACTCGAATACGGAAAGTAGAGTTTAAAAAAACGTGTTACCAGTTGTAGAACTACAAGAGTACGTTAACACAGTAACATGTTTAAAATGACAAAAGTAGATTCACAAAGTTAAACGATTTTAAGTCAAGCATAACGCCCCGCCCCTCTCGGAGTATTTACGACCTTCTATTGCGGACAGGTATAAAACGGCTCCTCTCCCATATTTTTAAATAAAACTGAAGGACAACATACGGCATTTTTTATAACATATATATGTTACATTTGTTACAAAAGTTTTGTCACTAGCAACATCACTTGAAAATTGCTGATTTCACCATTTATGATGAAGATAACTTGTGCATTACCTTATTATTTAACATCGTGTTCTTATCAGTTACAAATTATTTATCATTTTAGTGATTAGCCTGTCCGTGCTATGCCTAGTGCCCTGCCCTGTGTTTTGTTTGGGGTCCGCCTGGGCTTCTTGCCACTTGTTCTTGTTGCTGGGTCATGTAGGGTTGCGTTCATTGAGCGCCGCCTTTCCTTGTTGATCTTGTTTATCATAATTCCTGAGAAACATTGGCGATTAGGAAATTTTTAGGGGAAACAATGACCAACTTCAAGGGAGTTATTTAATTGATAATGTAAAAACCATTCAATATTCTTATTGGTATCATTGAAAAATGTATTGGCATAAATTTCACTTTCAACAAAAACTATGCAAGTATTTGCAAAAATAGGATTTTAAAGCGGCCACCGAGATTTCCTTTCCGAAATCAAGAAAATACTTATCCGTAGCACATATGTACAATCTTTAATAAGGTATTTTCAGTATGAATAAAAACTTTTTGCACTCGTTCATTATCCCTCATGTACAGACTCAAACAAACCGAGTCTGCAATTCTTATGTAATTTTGTAGTGATTATGCTTCCGAGGGATCATTTTGTTTCCAGATTTTAATACTTCACAACAGCAGGTGCCAAGTGCCGTGTGGCAGCTGTAAAAAGTTTCCCCGTACTTCACTTCAGTGTTTTTCTGGTCCTTCGGGATCATTGATGCCAGCGCTATTAAGTAATGAGAATAGAGTACCGTTCAAGCCGGTGCTAGGGGGCGTGAGGGATGTTGCACTTGTTCATTATCCCTCATGTGCAGACTCAATCCAACCGAATCTGCAATTCTTATGTAATTTTGTTGTGATTAATGCTTCCGAGGGAACACTATAATTCCAGATTTTTAATATACTTGTTCAAAGCTTATGGTCTTAAATATCATTCAATATTCAATTTCCTTTTTGAATAAAGTATCTAAAGGAAGCGACGATATTTTTTTTCCGAATATATGAGTGTGGATTTAAGAGAGAAAAAAATAAACAACGATAAGTTAGAAACAATTTTTTTTAATACTTCTACATAATTAATTTTCATTTTTAAGGCATCACTAGAAAGTTCATAAAGGATTCTTTTACTTGAGTCTAAAATTATCAACGCCGCCTTTCCTTGATGATCTTGTTTATTATCAAAATTGACCAAGAAATAAAAAAAAGTAAGTAGGGGCGCCATGTTTTTCTTACTGAATTTCAGAGTGTGTGTTTTTTTTTTTACTTGGGGATCATATGCCGTTTTTCCATGGTATGGCACTTACGTGTCACATTGAAGGTTCCATGATAATCGCCACATTAACACATCTGCGGATGTTTCAAAATTGAACCAGTTCATGTTGAATTTTGCTTAAGCCGGTGCTAGGGGGCGTGGACGATAACTTGCTCTTTCCATTACCGTCCATGAGCAGGCTCAATCAAACCAGGCCTGCAACATTCTCAATTTTGTCGTTTTGAGCGTTCTTTAGGGATTCTTATTTTCTCTATTTTACAGAAAGTAACATGATAAACTTTTTAACGTAAGTTAATTCAGTTTGATTTAATTCATTTTTATTTTTAGGCATTATATAATTATATATCATAAATCGTATGAAGCACACTTTTATTTCAATCCAAAATTATCAAAATATATTACGAACTTAAAAAAAGTTTGGAGGGAACGCCGTGTTTTTCTTATCAATTCGAGAGTGTTATTTTCAGAGTAAAAAAAAAACCCTGAAAATTCCTAACATCTATTTAATTCATTTTTATTTCCGAGGCATTCATAGAAAGCTTATGGAGTAATCTTTCATTTGATACCAATAATATTGGACTTTTTATAGAAATAAAAAAAAAAGAGTTATAATGGACGCCGTGTTTTCCTTCACTTTATTGAGAAATAGGAGAGAGGCGACGGGTATTATACCTGTCCGTACATTTCCGTGATAGAAGATCGTAAATACTCAGAGAGAGGCGGGGCGTCATGCATGACTTAGAATCGTCTAACTTTGTGAATCTACTTTTGTCATTTTAAACATGTAACTGCGTAAACGTACTGTTGTAGTTCTAGGACTGGAACACGTTTTATTAAATTATATTTTCTGCATTCGAGTTTTACTTTTCATTTGTGTTTTTCAGGTACAGATATATATCTACAAGTGTGTAAACATGCTTTTGTATTATATGCAATGGTAGATACGAACTTGTAAATGTGTTGTTGTTCACCATGTTAGGTCAGTTGTTAAGATTTACATGTAAACTTGTTATTTAAAAGCGGGTGCCTTCAATTAAAAGATTGGATTAAGAGGCATATCA